AATTTACTTTGATTGGGTGATTAAATTTAATAAAAACGAAACTTGGTAAATTTAAATTTCTTTTAAATTGAAATTCTTTCATAAATTTAAAATAAATTGATGCGAAAATGATACTCCTAGGATGCACTCACACACCTATTTAAAAATATTCGGCTTAAAAATTAATATAAGTTGTCTAGTATATGCTTTCTTACTTTATGGAGAAGTTTCTCTAAACTATTTTGTGAATGCACCGTCGCGGTGTCAACTCAGTAGCGGTTGCTTTTCAACCGTGATAGACATCTATGTGATGCTGATTATATAAAATTTTATAGAAGGCTCGACGAAATTTTCTTTCTACAGACGTCGACAGTCCAAATCGAGCTCTATAATTCGACAATATTTCATCATGTTCCAGATGATATTATAATAAGAAAGTTTTTATATGTTACAGTTTCTTGTTAATTATTAAAGACTTTTCGAGAATATATGGCATCAAATTTGCAAAAATCACTCATATGACGCGAAAAGTGCAACAATCTTATAATTTTGGAAACTTAATATTTCGAGAATAAAACATGTGTTTTTTAGCTGAAATTTTTGAGAATATTCTATTCACAAGTAGATCCGTTTGCCAGCTAATCTCAGGTTGAAATACTGTTACTCGATTTAGAGATATATAAGGTCGTTTTATAGCCTCAGATTCTAGTAAAACGTCTGTAACTTAGAAGAAAAGGTAAACGAGCACGTGTTCCTTTAGAACTTTCCGTATCACACTAGGAGCTACCTTATGTAGAGACTGGATTCGAAACGATTTATCACTTGAAATAACTTTCTCGTTACAGATAAGCTATATCAAGTATGATTTTATGACGTTTTGTCCACAGTTATTTCATCTTTTCTCATGAATTCCAGTAGTTAGAAAGTTCATTCTTTCGTTGCGGTGGGTGTGAGTACAACGTAAATGGCATTCAACAGAAGACTCATGCTTGCATTCTGCCACAACCACACTCATCAAAAACCCTTTGGTCCATGAGACTTTCAAGGGTATATATGATCCGTACAAACACGTCAAGAGTTTATGAAAAAACTTTAATAGCAAGATTTGGTTATTCTGCACTTTTTTTTACAGTGTACTGTTGTTTATCGACATTAACTCATGCTTTTTTTGGCTTCTCTCATCCACATGATATGTTAACTGTTGTTTGACTTTATCTTTCACATTCTACGGCAAGCATGCACTTTTTTTATCATCGACATCGACATATTCAATTCATGGCAAAAGCAACAGTACGTAATCGAGCGAAATGCTTTATCTGTCAAAAAGAAAAAGCCTCGTATAAGTGCAATGGATGTTCACAAGACTTTTGTTTCGATCATTTAGTAGAACATCGTCAAATCATTAGTAAACAATTCGATGAAATCGAAAATGATCATGATCAATTTCATCAGACACTTGCTGAACAGAAATAAGTTCCAAATAATCTAGCATTGATACAGAAAGTGAATAAGAGGGAGGAAGATTCGATTAAGAAGATTAAACAATTGGCCGAAGAATGCAGACAAATGGTGATTGAACATAGCAGTCAACATTTTATTGAAATAGAAAAAAAACTGTCACAATTCACTGAAAGTCTAAAACACATTCGTGAAGAAAATGAATTTAATGAAGCTGATTTAAATACACTTAAAATACAATTAAAGAAACTAGCAGAAGAACTTGATGAACCACCAAATATTAAAATTGAATACGATTCTGCATCCTTTATAGATAAAATCTCTATTCTTATTTCATCTGGTAAGCAGCATAGTAACATATCGAATGATAGAAAAGCGTAAATTATAGAATAGCATCACCTTTTTTTTGAAAACTCTTGACTAAAAATTACTAAACAAAATCCTCAAGATGTGTACATTCATATTTAAAGTTTCTATCATTATCTATAATGTATCCAAATAAAACCTGTCAATATAATGATTTAATCGCAATTATTCTCTCTAAATTTTTCAATAAATGTATTTTATTCAATTGAAGTGTTGATTTCCGTATGAGCTCTGGTTTGTTCATAGAGAGCATGCTGAATTGAAGTCGTCAGATAACACTCAATTTAGTATATATGAGGGAGGCGAAAATTCGCTGACACTGAACGCAAGTATTATTTAAAGATAATCGAATTCTCATTGCTGTCTTTGATTGTATACTAATTTTCAATTTGGAGTTTCTCTACAAATGAAACAAGACAAAACATCTTCGTCAACACTGAATTCAATCTTTACGCTGCAAAAATCACAGAAATTCTCTTCTCTTCTCTATCCGAACCAAATAGATGAGATTTATCCATAGGAACTCTTAATTCGTTTCACTGTTCGTGATTGCAGTAGCTACTCGATTTTTAAACTTCCCTTGATCTTTCTTATCTCTTCTATTCATATGAAAAACGAACTTTACAAAAACTTTTCTTTTACCCTTCTTGTTATTTTTCTTCCGTTCATTATAGTCATGGCCAACATTTATGCTAGTGCTACATGGAAACAGAATGGTATGACTGTTGCTGGAGGTAATGGACCTGGCAATGCTACGAATCAACTCGCAACCCCTATGGGTCTCTTCGTTGATGATGATAATCATATGTTAGTTATTGCTGACCGCGCCAACGATCGCATCATTCAATGGAAAATAGGCGATACGAATGGACAAGTCGTAGCTGGTGGAAATGGTTATGGAACTGGTTTAAATCAAGTGGAGTTACCAAAGCATGTTTTGATTGACAAAGAGACAAACAGTCTCATTATTCTGGAGGGTGCTTTTGGACGAATAGTTCGATGGTCTCGCCGTAGTGGAACGAAACAGGGTGAAGTCCTCATCGATAAGGCTCAAGGTTTTGGATTGGCTATGGATGATCAAAGATATCTCTACGTTTCTAGTTTTGATGCTGTAAGACGATATCAACTGGGAAGAAACACCAATAATGGAACTCTCGTAGCCGGTGGAAACGGCGAGGGCTCTGGTCTTAATCAACTCCAACGGCCGTTCTACATCTTTGTCGATCGACAACAAGCCGTCTACATCTCAGACAACGAGAATCATCGTGTTATGAAATGGGAAAAAAATGCGAAAGAAGGTATTGTCATGGCTGGAGGTCAAGGACCAGGCGATTCTTTGACACAATTGTCATCTCCTCGTGGAATTTTCATTGATCACTTTGGTACTCTCTATGTAGTAGAAGCGGGAAATAATCGTGTAACACGTTGGCCACAAGGGACTGTCATTGTTGGTAAAGATGCTAAGTTGTCTGCACCTGAGGGTTTGTCTTTCGATCATCAAGGCAATTTCTATGTCGCTGATTGTGGTAATCATCGTGTTCAACGTTTTTCCGCTTAATAAAATCTCATTGCAATTAAAATTAAAGCTTTTCTTTTATTTCGATTCTTTGCCAACACACATATGACCATGCATGACTATGGTGAAGTCGTGGTCAGCGTAAAGCTCATGTACGTATGGAATAGACTCAAGTCCTGAGCAGGTATGGACGTATGGTATAGGAATGGGTGTCGACGTGAGTGTCCATAAAAAAAGAAAATTCACCATTACACACAGACACCATTATCCACATCCTCACGCCCTTCCACACACCGTCACCCACACCAAGCAAAATCAAGGCTTGTTAATCACCCATTTAAGTCGGAAACCAACAAGAAAAAGTTAGATTGAGAGTAAATATTACAGTAATGGTCAAAACCTTCTACTTATTCACACCTACACCCGTTCAAAATCACATCCTCCTTTGATCTGAAGGTTTTCACGCAATTCCTGAAGCCGAATAAAATAAATTTAATTGCAATAATCGATGAGACGGACTTCTAGAAAAACTAAAACAGAGGAAATCACAAATGTAAGTTTAAAAATCAAACTGTTCATCAGATTTAAATGGTGCCCTTATAATAAATTTTTAATAATAAAATATTAACCAATTTTATTGTGAGTTTTTTACGCAGCATTTTACACGGAAAGCTAGAAATTCAGTAGAAAAAAAGAAGTATATTTAACTATTTTTGATTGCTATCTGATTAATCTCACAAACAGAATTCAATTCACTTCTCTTCTGTTACAAAGTCACACTTTATACGTCATTATACATTATATTCGTATCAAGCCATATCAGTTTTGTTAATATTCTTTGCTTCTTTTTTTCTCTTATCGCAATATTCGTTTTTCATACTTTTGTGATAGAGATTCATTTATAAAAAAAAGAGAAAAGCGAACGAACACAAGGAATAACGATCGATGCTCTAATACTCTAGGTTAAAATTTTGTTTTTCTTTTAGTAAGCATCGCTGTAATCGATCGAGTATCTACATATATAATAGAATGGCTGCAGCTGTACAAATAATTGCGTAAGGAGTCGTAGTGTTTCTTCAAGCAGCAGTAAGATAGAGCTTAAGCATCATAAAGTAAATCAGCAACAACAGACACAAGACAAATAGTTTTGTTTCCGCTTGAAGAAATTCAATAGCAAGCAAATGAGCAACACTTACAAATATATTTTCAATGCAGTTATTCGTTATTCTTCTAATTCGTTTTCATTATTTTCGTTAGAATATGCGTTTTTCATAGACATACAATGGTCCTAGACACCATCTAATAACTTCATTCGTATTTCTTTTTTTTAGACAATTAGAGAAAGATCTCCCAAATAGAACATAGGATTTATTTTTCAAAAAACTGTAGTCTGAAATTTGTCGAGCACAGAGATATATTTTGCTCTGCTCTATCCTTTCATTATACAAGGCAGAACAAAGATTTTATATAACTCATTCTCTGTAACAAAGCACATTCTTCTTGGGTTGCAGATATCTCTGACAGGTGGTATTAATCAGTATTGCTATTGGTACTTTTTTTCCTTACTAATACCAATCTAAGCCTGGTAGATCAAGCATGAGTCATTGCCGACTTTTCTCTTCTGTATGAATCAAAAGTTCTGACTAAAACAGCCTATAGATTATATATAATCATCTCTGTATTAATGTAGACATTAGTTGATGCTTTTGGTTTACGATTATAATACTTGTATGAAACATGATTTTCAGCGACTGTTGAAGTATATAGCGAGAGAACGGATCTCATTTTTTCCCTCAGCTTACTTTAAAGATTATGAACGTCATACGAGTATTTTTTGAACATACTGGCGGAGATTTTAATCTCTGTAATAAATTATTTTTTTTCGACCTACTGGTTTTTGGTCTTATCATCGGCTGTTATTTAGATAATGAGTTTTTGACGAGACGAGAGGCCAAAAACTTCCTATTTAAGTTCACTTTAAGATTGCGACGGAATATCCCCTGCATTTTTGTAGCTATTTAGATTGTGAATGGGAACTATACATATGCATAGTGGTCTAGAATTCATTATTTAAATGTACACTCTTTTATACGCCACGTTCTTCCCATCGCTTGACCTGCTTAGTGCATCTCGCAGTTAGAAATATATAGGTTAAATTGTAGCAATGTTACGATGTATCTCAGTTTGTTTATATTTCTTATGTAACATAGAATTGAGTTTTCAACTTCAATATTGCACAAAATCTTTTATCTTCTCCATCGCATGGATTCGAACCCTGATGTGGCCCAGTTCATTCAGTCTGCAGCAACGCATACAGATGAAACTTGTAAACTAATCGTACTTGGTCTGGAGGGGATCGGCAAAACAACTTTGATCAATGAAGCATGCGGAACACATTTCAATACAAGTGATGGGCGTAGTGGATGCAGCGTGAAAGAAAACCAAAAGGGTACGTTTCGTGTTGATGGATTCTCTCGTTGTTACGAACTCATTGATATGCTCGGGATCAATTATAAGAATCCAGGTGAATGGCAGAAAGCACTTCATGGGCGTTCTGAAGTACATGGTGTTATATTTTTACTTAGTGGTATTAATCCTCGTGAGAGTGCTCTTGGTGAACTACCTCGGATCAAAGATTACTGCTCCAATCTGGACATTCCTATGCTATTTATTTATCGTGATGGATTTCTTAACTTCGCACCACGTATTAGAATCTACGCTGACACCCATGAAATCGAGGTTGATGATGAAGAAGCAATGTGCAAAATAGTCAAGACTAAATTTCTCCGCTATCAAAATCTGCAGGAAGTTAAAGGCGTTATTGCACAAACTTTCGCAAATGCTCAACAACTTCATCAGCTACTTGATCCCATTGTTATCTGTGGACATGTAAAAATGCTACGAGAAGAAAATGAAAATTTTAAAATGGAAATCAAATCTCTGGAACAGAACCATCGAAATATCATGAATGAGCAAAAGAAAGAATATGATAATCAAATTTCATTGCTCAACGAATTACTAGTCAAAGCTGTACTAAACGTCAAAGAATTGAAACAGACAATTGATAAGATATCCGAGGACAATCAAAAGCAACTGCAGGAACTCATCAAAGTGACTCAATCCCTCAACAGCGATAATGAACATCTTCGACTGAAAAATGAGGATCTTACCAAACAAAAGAGTGCTCTGGAAAAAACGTATACAGATTTGTACGAAGAAAAAGATGCATTACTCATCGCTATTCGAGAGGCAAAGATAAAACGGCAACTGCTTGAAATCGTCAAAAATAAACTGGATAATGAAATAGATAATCTGACACGGACCAAAGATAACTTGGAGAAGGAGAAAAATGTCTTGAAGAACAAAAAATTACGCCAGCAACAGCGAATGCGTCATATAGGCAAAATATGTTGAAAATAAGATGAAAACTTTGGTTGATGTTTCATATTCCGATTCAGAACAGTCAAAAGAAATGAAACAGGAAACATATCAACGTGGTTCGTTCACGTGATTACCAGGAGCAGCATATTGGGTGGCTGAAGAATATGACAACTTCGGAAAAAATATCGAAGAATTCATCACCAATTTAAGACCAATCATACAATCGAGCGATATAGACATTCTTTCTGATGAATGGCACACAACAGACGCCGAACTAAACTAGTAGATAAAACACTATGAGTTCTCCTTCACCATAAATAATGATATCTTATGTAGACTGTGAGTGTGGATGTTAATGTATTATTCTAGAATACCGAAACACAATTTTGAATAAGAAAACAAACAAAATAAAATCAGTTCATATTGAACACTTGGAATCATCAACTGCATATCGTACTTTGCCTCAACATTATGCTTAACTTTATTTTAAACACATTTGCTGAGATTCGAATTTTCTTTGAGAAAAGCTTTGATAAATTCATTTTCATTTGCATTCATCAGATGATAGATGTGTATTCATTGGTCTTCTCAGAATGTGATGCCAATTTTTTTCTTTTTCTAGTTTATATCATCACACAGGTAGACCTATTTCATGTCGAACTGAATAATTACCAAAGTTTATTTTTCTTCCTTCTATGTAGTGCGCACTTCGAACAAAACAACAAAACGATATTAAGATTTCGTTGATCATACACTCGAGAAAAAGGAGGACTTACACGCATCTTCCAAGGACTTAGTGTTAGTTGCTATAAGAAAAGCAAGGGATAGCAACGAAGAGAAACTACTGATATCACAGCAAAGAAAATAGAAAGCTTCTGTTCTGATTACGACAATTAGTTTTTGTTTTTGAATCTATTAGCTAGAAGCACCATGCCATTACAATAAATAATTCAAACAAAAGCTAGGCAGAACAAATGACACATTATGTGTGTTATCTCCTGCCCAAGAGAAAAGGCAAAGAAAATGTTTTAATATGAAGTTTCTTGTTAAAATATAGTAGGTTCCATCGCATCGAATGTATTAAGATTTAAATATTGTAAAGCGACCTGCTATTGGCCAAAATCAAGTATAACAAGAATCATTACATGTCAATTATTCATTTGGATTTGCTTTATGCTGCAATATAATTTAAAATTCTGGAAAGTTTTTGTAAAATAAGTACAACCGATTTCACCATATTGGAACAGGGTGTGAGTATAGGTGAGGATGTGGATTTGTCTGTGAGTGTTGGTGTAGACAAGAATCTACTCCTCATCCACACCCACATGCACATGCACACATACACTCCATACCCACATCCCAGTCACACCAACACTCACACCTAGACTTACACCCACCCACTCAAATCCACACCCACATCACCCACACCCTCAAAATCTAAACAGAATTTGTCTTTTTTCTCAACAAATCTTGTTAGTTATTATTAACTCATTCTTGTTTGAAATAATTAAATCAATATCTAAACAAAAACAATGAAAATGAGTTCCAGTACATTCAACTGTAAATAAATCTTATCTTTTATACATTAAATTCTATACTGATGAAGTATTTGTTCATCATCGATTATTGTCTGTAATATTTGTATGATATCATCATTTACTTTCCATATCCATAAACATAATGAAACAAGATCGTTAATATATGCATTTTTTCAATAAAAATAAAATCGAAGGAGTAACGATAGTTCAATGTCATTTGTACATTCTATTTGTAAATGTTGTATAAGAGAACAAAACTTCAGAATAAAATGAACTTGTTCGATTTTTGTCACATGACACATATTGACATTTGTAATATTCGTAGCCGTCGATAAATTATGCTGTTTTGATTTTTGACTGCATTCATGCGATTCTAATAATCGACTCGAATATGAAATTATCAATGAATCAAGATTGTGTGAAATTTCCAACAGCTCAATCAATACACAAGAGGATACTATATTACTATTTATGGGTGTGGGTATGGAGAAGCAGAAAATCAACAGAAACACTCACACCGGTGCCGACACCCACACCAGTCCCACACGCCATACCTCGACCCCCACCCGCACCCCCGCCGTCACCCACATCCATAGCCACACGAAAAAAAAATCAGTAATTCACTACAATCTATCATGACGCACGCGATAAATTTCTGATTGAATCAATCAAACAACAGCCACAAAGAACAATCAATCAGCGTGTATGTCGCAGAGACAATGTCTATAGATTACGAATCATGTTGAAAGCACAGACGGTCGAGATCGAGTCAACTTTGTCATCCCAACGAACACACACAACAATGCCCTCTTGTACGAGAACTTCTTTCTTTAACACTTCACCATTGAACTCGTCCTGGTTGGGTATAATGATATCAACTCCAACCTTAATTTGTACCATATTTGCATTGGGGATAATCATGTGAATAAGCACACCTTCGTTCGCGTGGACAAATCGATTCAGAGGCTGAATTAAAATACAGTTGTACTGTCGAAAAGGTAAATAAACAGTTGGTAAAGTGATGGCCTGTACAATGTTTGACATATTCAATCGCATGTGAAAAGCATCATGATAGGTATTCTCTGTGTCTAACTTAATGTAAATAGCTACTTCGTAGAGTCCATCGACTGGTGGAGCAAGATAGCAATGATAGATATCTTGGGGGGTGGGATCACGTTGATAGAAAGTGTGTAAATTACGCGGATACTCGATATCGACAACTGTGAGCATTGCGAGTAACTCGGCATGGCTCAATGCTTGTATAGAGACTTTGAAAATGGCTTGGTTCGTCTTATTGAAGTCTTGTTTAGGCGAGAGAAGGTTCATTTTGAGTCGATAATACGTTGATTTCATGACCGGCAAGCTGAGGAACTCATGTTTGGTTAGTTCAGGCTCAAGCAATTGAAATCCATTGGAATAATGAGTGTAAATAAGCTACTCTGGAGATGTCAGAAAACAAAAAGTCTTCAAGTTTATTTTCATCGTCGCCACCACCAGCTCCCCACGTTGAATCGAGCAAGAAAGTATACTCGTCGAGCACTATAGCATTCCATGCATGCGGGAATTTATTGAGTTCTTCTCCTGGCCTGAAAAACACTTTCACGGCACACGCCTTCACGTGTACGAAAGACACTTTCGGTAGCGTTATTAATGCAGTCTGCTGTAGCTTTTATTTTAGCACAAAGATCGTTCATTGAATTCACTTTTACCCATTGTTGAACATAGCTGCGGAGTTGCTTGCTAACTATGACAGAGTCCCGTTGCTGAGTAAAGGCAGGATCAGTACGAGACTGCTTGAGATTAGCCGATATCTTCACTTCCGCACTATGGTTTGTCCTCTTTGGATTGAAAGTAGTCGGCAGATTTCGTTCAGTGATAGTTGTCGCAGTGCGTGGCTCAGCAAGAGCATCGAGTACAGCTCTTTTAATAAGATCAACTGAAGGTGTGGCTCACTGGGAACGTTTCGAAAATAACGTAATATCGAAAGCTGACAATTTTGCGAAACCTTCGATAATTTTCTGTTAAAGGTCTTCCTAACGACAGTTCCCATAATAAGACTACACATCAATTATAATCGTCAACAAGTTGACAGTTCGATTAGATCTCACTATTGGTGGCATGTATTCTGAAAAGAAAGCGAAATGAACGGTAGGTCGTAAACAAATAATCCTTTTTTTACAATGTATCTCCGTCAACTTTGATTTCCAAGGCTGCAACTTCCTCCTAAAAATATTCTTGATTAGATAACGTGTAGGAAAAATAAAATTCGTGATTTCCGTAGTTAAAATGTGAGTATAAATCAAAGTGTGCAAATAATTAATATTTCGCAACTCAAATATGTATAAGTGTCAGTCCAGTGTTATAGTTTTTACTTTGACGTACAGAATAAAATAATATTTCACATGAAAGTATGTCATAAATAGAAAACTGCAAAAGCTTCAAGCTTTTGAAAGGTCTGCAGTTTCAACGCGTTCACAAAAAACGAGAATACATGTTCCCAACAAAGCTTTCCTTAGGAATATAATAGTCTTAGAAATAAACTATTACTGAATTGTAGAGATGCTTTTTCTGCATTCTTGGGTTCGCATTTTAGACCATTTTAGTTTAGAGTTTTACAGATTTGAACCCGGAAGCTTCTGACAGAAAAATGGGTGCTCCAGACTGGAAACTGAATGTCAAAGAAGATATTGGTAAAATAGTGAGTAAATCATTCTGTATTTCGCAACTTTATTCATGAGCAACTATAGACATCATTATAAAGATTTTATTGCCATTGATGATCTAATATTTGGTTTCCATTTTAATCGCATTCAGCCTCAAGCGATTGTTGTGTTGATCTTTCCGTACACTTCAACTGGTATACTTCCAGGTCAGAATACTTCCTTAAGAGGGTGTGGGTGTGTGGTGTGGTTTGTGCATGTCGCACTACCATCCTCTGACACCCACACCCACACCCACCCACACCCACACCCACATCCCACACCCTAATCGAGTTGATAATATTTATCATCATGTTCAAGTATTA